TTATCTCAGATTCTCCAGCATCAGCAGTTCCTACTATCTCCCAGCTTATCCAACCTTTCTTTATAACTCAAACCTTCCATACCTGCTAACATCCTGGTAAATATCTTCTGACTCCTCTCCAGCTTGATAATATCCTTCCTAAAACTGAGTGGCCAGAACTGGACACAGTATTCCAGAAGGGGCCTCACTAACGTCCTGTAGAGCCTCAACATGCGCTCCCGACTATACTCAAAGGACTGAGCAATAAAGGCAAGCGTGCTAAACACCTTTTTAACCACCCCATCTATATGTGACACAAACTTCAAAGAATTATGTACCTGCATCTCTAAATCCCTCTGTTATACAACACTATCCAAGACCCTAATGTTAATTGTATAAGCCCTACCCTTGTTTGTTGTACCAAAATGTAATACCAGATTGAACTCCATACACTATTTTCCAGCCCATTGACCCATTTGATCAAGATCCCTCTGTAATTTTAGAAAACCTTCTTCACTGTCTGCCGAGCCACCAATTTTGGTGTCATCCGCAAACTTACTAACCATGCCTTCGATATTCTTGTCCAAATCATTTATACAAATTACAAACAAAAGAGGACCCAGAACCAATCCCTGTGGAACACAGCTGGTGACAGGCCTCCAGACCAAAAAATAACCCTCCACCATCACTCTCTGTCCCCTGCGGTTAAGCCAATTATGTATCCAATTAGTAAACTCACCCTGAATGCCATGTGACCTAACTTTATTTATTTGTCTACCATGCAGAACCTTGTTGAAAGCTTTACTAAAATCCAAACAGACAGCATCTACTGCTCTGCCATCATCAATCGTTTTGGTAACTTCCTCAAAAAAATTCAAAGTTTGTGAGACACGATTTTCCTCACATAAAACCATGCTGACTATCCCTAATGAATTTTTACCTTTCTAAATGTCCATAAATCCTATCTTTTATAATCACCTCCAATAATTTACCCACAACCGAAGTTAGACTAACAGGTCCAGAGCTCCCTAGATTCTCCTTACAACCTTTCTTAAACAAAGGTACAATATTAGCCACCTTCCAGTCATCAGGCACCTCACCTCCAGTTATAGATGATGCAAATACTACTGCAAGGGGTCTCATAATTTCCTTCCCTACTTCCCACAATGTTCTGGGATACATTAGATCAGATCCCACAGATTTATCCACCTTTATATTCTCTGAAACCTCCTGAACTTCCTCTTCTGTAACGTGAACCGTTTTAAAACATCAAAGCTTATTTCCTTGCATTCTCTAGACTCCATTTCTTTCTTCACTGTAAAAACTGACACGAAGCATTCATTTAGTATCTCTCCCATCTCCTGGAGTTCAACTCAAAGACGACCTCATTGATCTTTAAGAGGCCCTATCCTCTCTCTAGTTACCCTCTTGCTTTTAATGTATGTGTAGAATCTCTTTGGATTATCCTTAACTTTATCTGCCAATGCTATCTCATTTCCCCTGTTTGCCTTCTTAATTTCTCTCTTAAGAATGCACCTACACTCTTTATATTGATTGAGTGATTCAGTTGAACCAAGTTGTCTATATCTAAATAAGATGCTCTTTTATTCTTGACTAGAGCCTCAATATCTTTGTTCATCCATTGTTCTTTAATCTTACCAACCTTACCCTTCACTCTAACAGGAACAAAATGCCTCTGAACTCATCATCACACTCTTGAAAGCCTCCCACTTGTCAGACGTCCTTTTACCTGTGAACACTCTACTTCAATCAACTTTTGGATGTTCTTGTCTCATACCATTAAAATTTGCCTTACTCCAACTAAAATCTGTAACTTTTATGGAAGGCTTATCCTCTTCCATAACCATTTTGAAACTAATAGAATTATGATCGCGAGATAGTAGGAACTGCAGATGCTGGAGAATCCGAGACAACAAGGTGCAGGGCTGGATGAACACAGCAGGCCAAGCAGCATCATAGGAGCAGAGCTATGATGCTGCTTGGCCTGCTGTGTTCATCCAGCCCTGCACCTTGTTGTCTAGAATTATGATCGCGAGGCCCAAAGTGTTCCTCCGCTTTTACTTCAGTCACTGCCCTGCCTTGCTGCCCAAAAGAAGGTCTAGTTTTGCTTCTTCTCTAGTAGGAGCTTCCACATAATCAAATTGTTATACAGTTGTACAGCACAGAAACAGACCCTTCAGTCCAACCAGTCCACGCTGAACATAATCCTAAACTAAACTAGTCCCACCTGCCTGCTCCTGGCCCATATCCCTCCATACCTTTCCTATTCATGTATCCTTCCAATAAAAGAAAATTTTCTTGAATACATTTGACAAATTCTTCATCATTCAAACCTTTAACCCTATGGTAGCCCCACTCAATGTTTGGAAAATTAAAATCTCCTTTTAATTACTACCTGATTATGCTTACATATATCTGAAATCTCCCAACATGTTTGTTTCTCAATTTCCCTCTTACTACTGGGGGGCCTATAGTACAATCCCATCAAAGTGATCGTTCCTTTCATAGTTGTAATTTCTACCCATATATTTTCATTGAACAATTTTTCAGAAATATCTTCCCTAGTTAATGTATTCCTTAATCAGAAACGCCACCCCACCCCCTCCTTTCTTGCCTCCTTTTCTATCCATCCTATTGCATCTAAAACCGGGAACACTGAGCTGCCAGTCTTGTCCATCTCTCAGCCAAGTTTTTGTAATAGCTATGACATCCCAATCCACATTCTTAAACATGCCCTGAGTTCATCAGCCTTACCTGTGAGACCCCTTGCATTGAAATAAATGCAATTTAGTTCTTCAGAGTTGCTATACACTCTGACTGTCCCTTGTCTTTCTTTTTCAATTAATGTGCTCTCCTCACATTCAGAACCTTCCCCATCAATCCTTCCATTTACACTGCTACTTAGGATTCCTCCACACACCCTCTCTATCAGTATAAAGTCTCACTTAATGGAATGAGCAAATCTCCCTGTTAAGATATCGGTCCCTTTCCAGTTTAGATTAGACCCATTCCCTTCTTGAACAGGTCTTTTCTATCCCAAAAGACATTCCAATTGTCCAAAAACCTGAATCCCTGAACAATACACCAGCTCTTCAGCCATTGATTTATCTCCTTTAACCTTCTGTTCCTTCCCTCGTTTGAGTTTGGCACTGTGAGTAAACCAGAAATTACTACTTTCAATCTTTGGACTGTGGGAGGAAACTGGAGCACCCAGAAGAAACCCACGCAGACGCAGGGAGAACTCTGTGCGAACTCCACACAGACAGTCACCCAAGGGTGGAACTGAACCCGGGTCCCTGGCGCGATGAGGCTGCAATGTTAACCGTGTGCCACGATGCTGCAGGCAAAGGACAAACCAGCAATGGCAAAAACTGCCAAGGGAAACAGTTTAGGATGAAGTGTGAGCAGACAAGGAGCAATCTGCAGGGACAGCACTTGTGGAATAGGAATGCATGTTTAAAGAGAGTGGAATGCGTCATTGTATTCAAACACTACCATCAGTAAACCCCCTTCAGGATTTCACTGTTTCAATCATTCAGGATAGGCATGAAGTCATATCAGGCCTCCTTGTG